CGCCCCGTACATCTAAAGACAGTGAAGATCATTTGCTTTACTATCAGGTCAAAAGTAACTCTTGCTTTCTAAAATGAAGCACACATGTCGCTAATTTAAGGCGTATTAAAGGAGTATTTTTCAGGAAGCAGAGGTGTTATGTAGCACTTTTTATTTTTTTCCAATTTATGCCTTCCTATTATGCTTTTGAAACTCAAAATTTATTAGAATTACGGAAAACGTGTGACTTCTTTGGGTAACAGTGTTTCTGTGCACAGATGCATCTATATGCTTGTGTAGCACCTTGGTTATGTCATTCCTTTTCTATGGATTTATTTTTTTTTACTTTTATTTATACTAGTTTATTTATAAAATTCTAATACATTGTTTTTTAGATCAGATTCTTAGAATCTCCCTCACTCCCCATCAAATTGTACAACCCCATGGTTAATCCCTCTCCTTTTTTATTTTTAGTTCTTTGATTTTAGTTTGTTTTTAATCTAATCACAGTTTATGTAAGGGAAAGAGAAAAGCTATTTTTTTAAAAAAACAGTCAAATAATTTTTTTTCATTTTAAAGAGAAAAACCGGGGGAGGGGTGGGCAGAGAGGAAAATGTGCAACAATGAATGAATGGGGAAAAAATTAAATGGAAGGAATATGCTGTAAAAATATATATGTTACATTAAAATCATTAATAATAAGTTATATTAGAAATATTTTCAGAAACTGTTCAAACAAAATATTAAGAGAAAAAACACTATTTCACTTTTCAAGACTTAAAATTTGTATTGAACTACATTTTACATGCTAAATTCTATTTTAGGATGTTTTAAATGTTTTAAAACTTTATTGTATACCTGGGCCATAAAATTCAGTAAGCCATAAGTTAATATATGCTTGTTCCATAAAGGCATCAGTGTTACTTTGTAAGTTATTATAAATGGTTATAAAAATAGGGATTTTTTAAAAAATTGGAGGTTTTTTTTTTTTCTGTGCTTGTTCATTGCTGTGGTGTTGGAACTAACAGTTGAACATCCAGCCGGTTTTCACAGGAGAGGAGATTGCCAGTCTTTCTCCCACAGACTAGCTGGTGGATTTTAATTGCCTAATTTTGAGTTAACCCCACAACTCTCTACCCACCATGTCACCAGAACATCCCTGTTGTTTTTAGGTGCTGTGTAGTTGACTTGAACTCATAGGGATAGTATGAACAGTGGATCTGAACCTTGCCTTAATCCTCATCATTTGATGTGTACTGTTACTGTGTCTGTACATCAAGTCCTCCTTTCTCTGACCCTCCACCTTCCTAGTCTGATGATGTCTTTTTCCAAGGACTGGCCCCTCCTAAAAATGTGCCCACAGTGTAGTATTAAAATAGATCTGGGCATGTATTTGATCAGTTCTAAGACATGGAAACCGTGAACTGAAGTTTCTGTCTTTTGTAACAAGAGAATGTTTGCTAAAGTGTTAGAATAAAATGTGGTGGAATGGCAAAACGGACCAAGCCGTGTGTTAGTGCTCTGTTGTTGTTGTTATGTGCTGTGGAGTCCCTTGTGACTCATAGCGACCCTATGTACAACAGCCCTAATACTCATTCAGGACAACTTCTAAAATGTGCTTGCAGGCACCTCAGCCTTGAGGCGCCTCAAAGCTTTAGGCCAATGTTACAAAGCTCTCAGACCTGCCATTTATGCACACCCTGCCCTCCCAGTCCTCCAACAAACCTGGGGAGAAGGCTTTTAGCTCCAGTTCTGTGGCAGAGCAGTCCCAAAGTGTACTCCATCTAATGTCAGGTCTCTGATTCTCCATTGTGGCTACTGCTTCCGTTGGCTCTAGTCTGTCTGGCAGAAGAATCTCTGGCCCTGAAGGATGTGTTGCATTCTCTTGCTTCTTTGCTGATGGTAAGGTTTCCCAATTCTTTTGCTGGATTTGCTCATTTTGGTGGTGAGACTAGCCAACTCCCTTGTGGATAGGCTAACAGGCCCTGTTTGCTTATTCCTGGCTGTCCACATGGCAGAGTCAAAACTCAGTGGCTAGGAGAGCCATTTTGAACAATAAACCCTTAGCATGACCATGTTTATAGTTTAGCCATTCATGGCTCCAACCAATCTAGAGACTGAGAATTTGCATTTTGTATTGCATTTTCTCTCTTTTGATCAAGGTTCTTCTATAAAATCTTTGATTAAAATGTTCAGTAATCATATCTGGTCACCATCTAGTTCTTCTGGTCTCAGGGCAAAGGTAGCTGCTCATAGAAGCAATCAGCCACACATTTCATGCTATTGTTAGGTACCATAGAGTTGGAATCAATCCATAGCTAAACCTCCAATGGGTTTTTGGAGTGAGTAAATTGCACTGAGGACGAGAATGCCCTCTTTTTCCTGCAGAGTAGCTAGCTGGGGGATTCAAACTTTGTGCCTTCCAGTTGACATTGTACGTCCTCCCTCAAACACCAGAACTCATTTTTGACCCCCCTTCCTCTTGCTTCAGGTGATTAGGGAACAGTTGTACTTGAAATGGCCACTTGCATACTTTTAATATCCTATGCATTATCCAGTCATCTCAGCTATGCAGTAAGCTATGTTGTAGAATAGAAACATAGACTATCTTATTAGGTACATTTACTGAGATGTCCCATGAAACCATGGTCCTCAACTTCCAAAATGTTTAATACTATGGGTTTTTGGTTGTTGTTACTATATCTGTCATTCAGCTTTTATTATTTCAGCTTTTTAAAAATTTACAGTTTATTGACAACAGTTATTGTGCAACCTTACTGTAATGTAATACTCTCTTCCACCACCATTAATCCTCTTTTCCCCCCTGTCTACTGCCTGATAATAACAAACTTTGGTTTTTATACATTTTCCTTTTCTTTTTGTGTAAATTATGTCATAACAATATCCATTTATGATTGACTTTTTTCTCACAGTGTGCTTTGTTGTTACTGTTGTGTGCTGTCGAGTCACCTGCACCCCATAGCGACTCTCCATACAGCAGTCTGTCCTGAGCCAGTCTCACTGACTCTGACACACCCAAAAAACAAACCAAACTCACTGCCATCAAGGTGATGGCCTAACAGCCATCCATAAGGTTCCTGAGGCTGAAACGCTTACCAGAAGGACGCCTGCTGGTGGATTTGAACTACCGGAGGCTCATAGCCTTTTGCTTAGCAGTGCAACATTCTACACACTGTGCCACCAGAGCTGCTTTCATACTGCAGCAAGCCAGGACTTCATAGTATGCTGAATAGTATGCGTGTGCTACATTTTGTTTATACAGTCTTTTGTTGATGGACATTTAGATTGTTCCCACTTTCTGTGGAAAATACTGCAGTAGACATTGGAAGCAGGAGCAGCATCCACTTCCTAAACAACATGCCTCCGGAAACTATGAACTTTGATAAATGTCAATAGTTGTAGAGGGGCTTCAGGCTTCTTGGTCATGGGTTCGCTATGAGTCATACTTGACTTGAAGGCAATCAACAACAACAGACATTGGTATATACAAGTCTATTCGAGTTTTTGCTTCTCTTTTTAGATTTTTCTTGTGATTTGAACATACTGGCTTTTCACCCATTAATTCGTATTCTTTCTGAATTCCCCACATTGGTAGCAGCATTTTTTCCCCTTCCTCTTTAGTTTCCCTGTCCATCTGTCCTTTTTTCTTCCTATCCTTTACTGTTTTCTGAGCTTCCTTCTTGGAGAAATGCTCCTTTTGAAACTTGTGTGATTAATTGCTCTAAGGAGTGTGTTTCTTCTCCCTAGTGCTATTAAATATTACCTTATAGGTCTGCCTGTTGTTTGGCTAGAAATTGAGTTATGGGTGTGATGTCAGTCCCAGGCTTTAAGGTTGCCTGAGGTGCATAGTTTCAGAAGTTCTAGCAATCTGTTTGATCTGTAAGACCCATCTTTTCTATGATTTTGAGTTGTTTCACATTTTTCTCCCATTCTGTTAGAGACCTTTTGATATAATCCCTTCAGAATGGTCAGCAGTGGTAACTAGTCTCAGAGTCATGAACACAGAACTTCACATGGTCCATTAATTTTCTGAGCTTAATTGCTATTAGGTGCTTTTGAGTCAATTCTCACTCATAGTGCCCCAGTGTACACAGATTGAGACGTTGCCTGATCCTGTGCCATCTTCACCATCTCAGCTGTGCCTTAGCCTACTGTAAGTCATTGTGTCAGTCCATCTTATAGAAGGCATTCCCTACTTCCAACTCTTCACGTTTCCAAGCATCATGTTCTTTTGTTAGTCTACAGTATAGTCAATACCATACACCAATATCGTAATTCAAAGGTATCAATTCTTCAGTCTTCCTTATTCACAGGAAGCAGTTGAAATAATTTAAAATATTACTGCCTGGATTCAGGTACTCCTTAGTCTTTAAAGTGACATCTTTGCTCTTTTGCACTTTAAATAAGCCTTTTGCAACAGATTTGCTCAGGTTAATACTTCATTTTAATTTGTGACTGAAATACAGAAATAAAAAATATAATCCATGACAACTTCAATCTTACTTCCATTTATCTGGATATTGCCCAATTGTTCTCATTTCTTTAGGACTTTGTTTTCCTTATATTGAGGTGATTTTCTTTGCTCTGAATGGGGAGACCATTTTTGGTCGTACTTTAGAGCACTTAAAAGCATTTTAAGAGTGTTACTACTCACTAAAATACTATGTGGAACACTGTCTTTGTATTTCATTGTGCTTTTAAATTGCATCTCAGAGTACAGCATTATTTTGTGTGCCTGGTGGGTGAGCCATAATATTTTGATTGGGCAATTTCAGAAGTGAATCACTTGCTTTGCCTTAATGTAGAAGTTCTTCTGAAACTCATTTAGCATCATAGTAAAATACAAACCTCTACTGACACTGGTGGCTGAACTTGGGGTACTTTGTCCAAGAATCAAACTTTGGCTTTCCTCATGGAGAGCAAAAGTTTTACCACTGAAACACCACTGCTCCTATGGTTTTGAATTGATCATTTAAAGTTTCACATCAGTTTCCTCATTGTAAAATAAGACTAGTAAGCTTTCACAAGGGCAGGCTTATATGAAGATTAATGATTAATTTATGTAACACGTGTCTTTGTCTGTATGAAAGGTAGTAGGTATTGTTTTCAAGCCATGGGGGAGTGGCACCCTTATTAGAATTGGGTGAGAAGCACTCCAAGCAGAAAGGACTCTACTATTGAGTGAGGCCATTTTCTGAATTTTGTACCAATATATCTCCTCCTCTTTTTTTTCACAGAGTATTTGTTGAACGTTTATTGTATGAGTGAATTATCTTATGTGCTTTTCAGAGCATCTTGATGTATAAGCCATTACATTTTATTTTTACAAATAATGCAGTTGAAACTTAGAGAAACATGTCATGCCCTTGACTACTAGTTAGGGTTGTAGTTTATTAGCTCAGGTGTTCTGAGTTCAGTGTCCGTACTTCATAGGCTGCTTGATGTTTAGGCCTAAGTAAGGACTTTTTTCTGAGGTCACAAACTATTCTTAGCACAAGACATGTATACTAGTTAATTTGGTTTTGGATGTCACGAAATAGAGTTGTGTTTTAGGAAGATAATTGAGCGCTTAACTGAAGATAAACAGTAAGATTGGGTACCATTAAGTACTCTGTTTCAATTTGCTAAAATATGGGTTATCAGCCTTTAAAGCTGACTCTCATTTGCTATTTTCTTCCCATCAGTTTCTTGTCAAGATTTCCTATTTCTCATGCAAATCAGGCATTTTAATTTTTGTTTCTTTGTTTTTTCTGTTTTCTATAGTATTTATCCCTTACTCCTCTTCCTGACTGCCCTGTCAGCCAAGCAAGTAACCTGTTACTTGTCACCAAGTCTAATCAATTAAAAATCTAACTTCTTATTTTCTTTATTCCCCCCAGAAAATTCTAGGCACATATTCTGGTTCATTCTTGCCTTATTCCTATCTTTTTTCTGAATTATTTAGAATTATCAAAATGGCATAGAATTATTATAGTGTGTTTATGTTCCCTCTGCCTGTAACACTCTCAGAAATTATCAGGTGAACAAGTACTTGTCTTTTTAAGTCCCACTTTATACATACCCTATAATATATCTTCTCTAAAATGAGAACTGAGGCACAGAGACTTGTACGTGAATCTTCATAGCTTTATTCACCATCACAAGAACATGGAAATAGCCCACATGTCCAAACACAAACAAACGGATTGAGAAATTATGGTACATTCACACAATGGAATACTATGCAGCATGCAGGAGCAATGATTTTGTAAATTACTATGTAACTGGGGAGGGACTGGAAAGCATTATGCTGAGTGAACGAAATCAGTCTTAGAAGGACAAATACTGTGTAAGACCATTATTATAGGGCATGTATGAGGATCCAAGAGAGGGAGGGTGAGAACAGAGAGGTTAGGAGGGGTGGGGGTGGGGTGGGGGAGTAATCACAGGGTCACACAATTTGATGGGTGGAGGGGAGGTATAGGTAAGGTAAATGGGAAAGATCCAGCATGAAAAACAATTTATACGAACTTTGTAAGTACAGCAGTATAAAATAAAAATCTTATTTTTATTTTAAATTTTATTTTTAAAAAGAAATCTTCTCTATGCTTTTGTCTATTTCCTATTCCTAGGTGTCCTTTGTTTTACTTTGATCATAGATTTATAATCATTATATAGCATCATTGTTGTTGTTAGGTGCTGTCAAGTTGTAGATGACTCATAGCAGCCCTATGAACAAAAGACCTGTGCATTGTTGGTAGTTTCCAAAGGCAAGCCATTTCGGAAGTGGGTGTCACTCCTGCTTCCAAACTTGTTTTAATCGGGAATGTCCACCAAACACTGTCCACTATGGGTAACCATTATCACATTTGGCACATCAGTGTCACATCAGTGTATCACATCAGTGTCACAGTGTTTAGCATCACAGCAACCACGAGGTACCTCTGTACAGCAATGCACAGACCAGTTGCTATACCACTTAGAAGAATGTTTGATAAAAACAATTTAAACCAGGCCTGAGTGACACAGATTAAAATCACCTATCTTGGGCTTGGAATTATATGATGTTGTAGAGTACTGAATATCCCATGGACTACCAAAAGAATAAATAGATAGGTCTTGGAGAGGGTGCAACCAGCATGCTCCTTGGAGGCAAGGAGAGCAAAGCTTTGTCTCACTTATTTAGGGCATGTTGTTAGGAAAGGCTCAACAACATACCTTGGAAAGAGACCTCACGCTTGGAAAGGTGGAGTGTCAGAGAGGAAGACCCTAAACGAGATGGGATATTTTATTACTTGTTTTGACAGTCCATGGGATCCTCCATACTCTTCTCCAACACCACAACTTGAAAACATTGATTGTTTTATCATCCTTAGTCTGTGCCTGTGAAATGGGCTCAAGCTGTGGTGATTCTGAAAATTAAGAGGGAGCTTTTTGTGGTTTACTTTTGGGTTGGAACGGACCCATATTTGACTCACCACGGGTTTTCAGAGGCAGCTGGTATATTGGAACTGTGTATCTTTGATTTAGTTCCTTACCATTAATCCTTTGGATAGGGAACTCTGGTGCCATTCCAAAGGCACATATCTCAAATCCACCAGCTTCCCCAGGGGAGAAAGATGAGCAGTTTCCTACTTTGTGATTGAACTGCCTCTAACGGCATCCACTTCCAAAATGGCTTGCCTCTGGAAACTCTATGTACGAACAGTGCTCAGGCTGTTCGTTCATAGGGTCGTTATGAGTCGTCTACGACTCGACGGCATTAAACAACAAAACAATACACACACACACACACACACACATACACACATAGACACACACACACATATATATGTACAGCTTATAATATTTTTCATCATGAACTCCAAACAATTACGTTGATCTAATAGGTAGCGCTGGTGACATTGTACATAAAGTACTGTGCTATTAGTAAGAGGTTACTAGTTTGGATCTACTAACCTTGCAGGTGAAAGATTGGCAGCCTTCTCCAGTAAAGGTTTATATTCTGGGAAACCCAGTGGATGGTTACTCTGAGTCAGAACTGAGTCCATGTTAGTGTCAGTGGATAAACTCAGTGTAAATGCTTATAATTTGAAGTTCTGCTAGTATAGTAGGGACCATAGATGTGAAGGTGAAAAAAGTGCTATTTTTTTTTTTAAAAAGATAGAAATTAAGGGCATTTAAATATGGAGGTAGTTGCCAATGGTGAAATATATTTGAGCATTTCCTCTTTGAATGAACTTGTTTTAGAATTTTACTACTCTTTAATGAGGGGACCAGTGTTTGAGAAAACTAGTTCTAATATCTTGTGGAACAGAGTGCTTGTAAGCATTTTGATAAAAATACTAGAATAAAATTATGATGTTAAATACAACTAGTTACCGGGGATTTCTTTCTAATTTGGTGAGTACTTAACATTAATTTTTTTTTCTCTTTCTTCTTCCCTTATAGGTCACCTGTGCAATTATGGATATTTAAAAGGATCAAGCAGTGTGGAGGGGGAGTTCCCCTCCACACTCCCCCTTGGTGCTTGACTCTAGGAATAATCTGTGGAAAGCTTTTTTTTTTTAAAAAAAAAACCTGCACAAATTTGATACAAACTTTACACTAGAGGTATTTATAATATTTTTTAAGTGCCAAAATAAATTATACAAAGATACATAGTTTTATACTATTCCTTAGAGGATTTAATCTTCAAAGGGCTATTTGTTCTGTATAATTCATCTTGTGTCCTGGCATTTTCATTTTCCCTTTTTTGAATTCTTCTTAACTGACTATTCTGAAGAAGTAAGCAAGATAACAGTCATTAGGATGAATTCTGTCCCTGACTGCACATCCAAGTGTCGATCCCTGAAGCATGCTTTAGATGTCCTTTCTGTGGTGACAAAGGGGAGTGAAGGCCAGATTAAGGCTTTTCTCTCTAGCCATTGTCACAATGCTGCAACTGTTAAGGATGACTTTGGAAGGAATGCTCTCCACTTGATTTCCTCCTGTGGAAAGAAAGGAGTGTTAGATTGGCTGATTGAGAAAGGAGTGGATCCCTTGGTGAAGGACAAGGAATCAGGATGGACTGCTTTGCATCGAAGCATTTTTTATGGACATATAGACTGTGTTTGGTCTCTACTAAAGGTAAGTTCATTTGTTTAGTTAAAACTGTGATTAAACACCCCTTATCAAAAAGAAAACAACAACAAACCAAACACTATAGAGGAAGGCATAGGGTTTTCTTAGACTTTCTTATACTGCTCACTTATTTTCCATAAAAGATTTGAGTTTACTCTTAGCACCTTTTTGCATTATTTACTGTTGTAATTCATCTTTGGGATGAAACTCTCAGGTAGACTTTTTATTTAAGCTTTTTATGATATGTCACGTTAAAAGATAGACAAACATTGGCAGTCAGTGATGGTTATTTTTGTGTTACCTGTATTGTTCCACTTCTTTTCTCTATCTTATATTATTTTGAAGTGAGTTCTAGATATTTTATAATTTATTCAGTACTGGGTGTCTTACTATTTTAAAAAATAGGGTTTACGAGCTCTGGTGGCCTAGTGGCAAGAAGCTGTACCGCAATCCCAGTGGCATACAGTTTGAATCCATCAGATGCTCTGCTGGAGAAGGAGGGACAATCTTCTCCTGTACCAGTCAGATCTGATTTGATAGTACATGCTCACACACAATTATAAAATATTAAAAAAATATATAGGGTTTACTGCGAACTAAACAGTATGACAGAGAACTGCCAGAAATATAAGCTGCATGTAGAAGAGGTTGTGGCACGAGAGACAGTGCCAGTCTCAAATGGATCCTGGCTGAAAGCAGAGCTACCAGAAAAGTGTTTTATTGACTATACAGAGGTAATTGACTGTGTGGATCACAACAACATGTGGATGACATTGAGAAGATTGTTCTTATGTATAACCTATACTTAGACTGGGAAGCAGTCATCAGAACAGAGCAAGGAAACACTGTATGGTTCAAAATTAAGAAAAGAGCATGTTAGAGACGCGTCTCTTCTATACCTTTTCAGTCTGTATTTGAAACAGATCATTTGGGAGGCCATATTTTATGAAAAAGAATGTGACATCAGCATTGAAGGAAGGCTCATCACTAACTTATGTTACACAGATAACACAACCTTACCTGCCATAACTGAGGACCTGAAGCCTTTGCTACAAAAGATCAAGGACTGTAGTTTTCAATATGGATTGCACCTAACATCAAGTAAACCAGATTTTTCACCACCAGGCCAGTTGGCAGAATCATGATAGATACAGAAGAGATTGAAGTTGTTAACAGTTTCATCTTGCTCAGATTCACAATCCGTATTCTTGGCACCAGCAGTAAGGAAATCAAAAGACGAGTTGCACTGGGAAAATCTGTTGTCGGGGACCTCTCCCGAGTGCTGAAGAGCTAAGATGTCAGTCTAGAGACTAAGGTTAGCCTGATTCAGGCATTACGTTCTGTGCATCAGAGAGCTAGACAATGAGTAAGGATGACCGAAGAAGAATCCCTTTAAGTTGTGCTTAGAGAAGAGTCTTGAACATACCATGAATCACTGAGAGAACAAACAGGTCTGTCCTGGAGAGGGTGAAACTAAGTTGTGCCTTGGAAACAAGAATTTTGAGGCTCTGTCTCACATACTTTGAGCATATTGCTAGGAGGGACCAGTCCTTAGAGAAGGACATTATGCGAAGTGTGAAGGGACAGCACAGGAGAGGAAGACTCTGGACGAGGTGGATTGACACAGTGACTGTAGTAATGGGGACAAGTGTATCAGAGAGCGTGAGGTAGGCCAAGGATAAGGTATTGTTCAGAGCTATTGTTCATGAGGTCTCCAAGGGTTGTAGTTGATTAGAGAGCACAAAAAAGCAACTGTGACCGGGTACTAATTATTGAATATCACCTAATTAATTTGTTTAGCTAGGATTAAATGTTTATAGTTCTAAACAAAGAAATAGAATCATCTTAAGCCTTAACACTGAATAGACATATAATGAAGTTATTCAGTGCCATTTCCTTAATGAATACAAATTGAAAGTTTTCTATGAAATTTTTACATGTAAAAAGCTTATTTTAAATATTGTGAATGGTTGCTCTCAGAATGCGCTTGAGATTCATTGTCTTCATTTATTTTTTACTTTTAAAATGTTATTTTCATAGTTCTCCTTATGTTGTCATGTTTACTTACCAAAAGAATTATTATTATTCATTCATAAGAAAACATATTTATTGGAGCTAAACTGCCTAGAATCATCTTGCATAGATTACTGAATCTTAGATCTCAGTTTCATCTGTAAAATAATATGACTGTCTCCTCACTGTGTTACCAGGAATAATCACCAAGGACAAAGCTTATCTTGAGTTTATTAATCATGACCCCTGGTGGCCTAGTGGGTAAGAAGTTGCACTGTTGACCCAAAGACAACTTGTTCAAATCTGCCAACTGCTCTGCAGGAGGAAAGATGAGCAATCTTCTCTTGTGCACTTTACAGTCGCGAAAACTTCCTTGGTGGTCTGATTTAACAGCAGTTAGGACTTGAGAAATTTATTAATCAGGAGCTCTGGCATAGTTTTTTATACTGCCAGCAAAAAGCTATGTAGCTCCATGAGAGTAAGACAAACAATTCTTCCTGACTCAGAAATCCAATGGAGTGTCACTCTTTAAGTCCAAATCCACTTGATGACAGTGAGTCTTAGAATGAGAAGTATTTTCATAGGAACTTACTCACATTGAAAACCATATGATGTGCCATTTATTTATTTATTTATAATAAATAATAATAAATAAATAAAAATAAAAAATAATTTATTTTTCAATTTTATTAGTTTTTGTGTGTATCCTGTCAAATTGGATCTGACTGGTACAGGAGGAGGTTGACCCTCCTTCTCTAGCAGAGCATCTGGCAGATTCGAACCACATACCTCTGGGATTGCAGTGCAGCTTCTTGCCACTAGGCCACCAGAATTCCCTTGATATACTTTTTAATAACCTACTTCAGAAAAAAAACATTAAAAACCATTTCTTAGGGAAGGTTAGTAAGACTTAAAGCGTCTGTCAGTTCCACTCTTAGCCCTTCCTAACCTATAAATCGTGATGTTTTCAGATTTCTGCAAAAAATTGAATGAGTGTCAATCTTGTAGAGCTCGAGAGGGTCCATGAATTTTCTGTTAATTTTTAAGGTTGCCTCAGGATTTGGAGCTTTAATTTGAAATAGTTGTGGCGTGACCTGAACACTAGATTTTCCCTCCTTGATGTTTCATTTCCCTTTGTTATTATTATGTGCCATTGAATCGATTTCGCCTCATAGTGAACCTATGAGAAATGGATCTGAAACCTGCCCTGACGTGTACTATCCTCACTATCTCTGACACACTTGACTTCATGGTTACAGTCCCCATGTCAGTCCATCTTGTTGAGGGCCTTCCTCTCTTACACTGACCTTTCAAAGCATGATATTCTCTAAAGACTTATTTCTCCAAACACTGTGCCCAGAGAAGGTGAGATGGATTTTCATCATCCTTGTCTCCAGGGAGCACCCTAGTTTCTCTATATATAAGACACATTTGTTTTGGTTTTCTTTTTTGTTTGGGATCCCCTGCCCCCCCAACCCCCTATGAAATACGCAATACTCTTCTCCAACACCATAACTTAAAAGCATGGATTCTTCTGTCATTCTGAGTCATTGTCCTACTTTCAGAAGCATAGTAAGCAATTGAGAAGACCACAGCTTGAGTCAGGCATACCTTAGTCTTTAAACTGACATCATTGCTCTTTAGTACTTTGGAGTAGTACCTGACAGCAGATTTTCTCATTGCAGTACATCTTTTGACTTTCTTGACTGCTGTACCAAGGGTATTGCTTGTGGATTCAACTAAGAAATTTTTGACAATTTCAGTCTTTTCTCCACCTCTCATCATGTTTGTTGCCTGTTGGTGAGGATTTTTGTTTTTTTTTGATGTTGAGATACAATTAATATTGAAAGCTGTAGTTCTTGATCATTCCCCTTTAGTGTTCCTTAATTAGCCTTACCCTCTTTTCTAAGAGAAACCAAGAAATCAAACTAGTTCTTGAGCCACCTTGTTCTTGGCTTGACTGTCATAATCTGAACTGTACTGATTAATTATTTAAAAAAATTAAAAAAGCCGCAAACAATCCTAAACCTGTTGCTATCCAGATGATTCCAATTCATAGTGACTGTCCTCTGGTTTTTTGTGACTAAATCTTGAAGAAGAGACTGCCTGTCTTTGTCTCTTAGAGCAGCTGATGGATTTGAACTACTGCCTTTTTGATTAGCAGCCCGACATGTTATATGCACTATTTTACCAGAGATCCTTAATTGGTAGTGCTCCCACCAGTAAAGTCTCTTCAATATTCTCATGTTGTAAGCTATCTGGAAATGTGCAGCCTTTCATTATTTTCTTTGGCCTTCAAATACTTTTTTAATTCAGAGGGCTTTTTTTGAGCACCTGTCAAGCAATAATCTAAGTGCTAGGAATATTACAGTGAAGAAGATAGACAAGGTCCCTTTTTAGAATTTTAGTCTTGTAGGAGCAAATAGACCAAATACAAATAATTGGATAAACAAATATAAAAGTATTTTATAGAAATTGATGTTGTAGAGTTATTTATACATATAACAGAAACCAACTGTTGTAACAAATAAATGTTTAGAGCTCTCAGACACCTCACAAGTGAGGGAATAATGTAAGGAAAGAGAACAACCTGATTAGTTAGCAAATTACAAGCAAGATGAAACTCCTCAAATTGAAGCAGCCTGGCTTCTCATCCCCATTATCCATTCTGGCTGATCCTTATATTAGCCTACTCCAGATTCAAGATTTCTGAAAGCAGATTTTCAGTTGCTTGGTCCTTAGATTATGTGTTATATTTTGCTTAAATTTTATTTCCACTCAAATTATATGCCAGAAGAAACTGGATGCTGTTAGGAAGGGAGATGGATTCTAGAAGTCAAAGGGAAAACAAATTACCATTATGTAGTGTTAAGTTTTGGTAATTGTACAATTTTTTTTTTTCAAATATGGAAAGGGAAAATTTCAAACAGAACTACTATCAATTTCTACATAGATTACTTTGTTGTTATTAAGTGCCATTGTTTTTGTTGTTATGTACCATCGAGTTGACTGCAATTCATAGCAACCCTATGTACAACAGCCCTAAATCCTGCCCTATCATGTGCCAATCTCATTGTCTCTGACACACCTACCCCCATTACTCCAGTCATTGAATCAATCCGTTTCATTGAGGTTCTTAATCTCCTGTGTTGTCCCTCCACCCTCCCAAGCATGACACCCCTCTCCAAGGACTGGTCCCTCCTTGCAACATGTCCAAAGTATGTCATACGAAGTCTTGAAATCCTTGCCTCCAAGGAGCAGCCTGGTTTCACCCTCTCCAGAACAAACCTGCTTGTTCTCTTAGCAGTCCATGATATATTCAGTACTCTTCTTCAGGACCACAGCTCAAAGACATCACTTCTCCTTCTATCATCCCTAGTCATTGTCCAGCTCTCTGATGCATAGCAAATGATTGCAAAGACCATGGCATGTATCAAGCACACCTTAGTCTCCAGACTGACATCATTGCTCTTCATTACTTGAGAGAGGTCTCAAACCGCAGACTTTCCCATTGCAATGCTGTTGTTGTTATGTGCCATCAAGTCTTTTAATTTTCTGGCCATTAATTAATTGCCATTAGATACTGTAGTGAAGGTGGTGTGGGAATGGCTGAGTCTGACCTTTAATTCTCGGTGAGGTGACTGTCCTTATCATAAGCATCCAAGGCACAAAACCAGTTCTGTGAGATCATCAGACATGCCCACCCCATCCTCCTGCACTTCTCTCTACTAATTTATAATTCCAGTTCCTCTACTGTTATACTGGGCCCCAAATATGTTGTAGCGCTACATAGACCTCACAGCACCATATTCATGATTATGGAGTTTATTAGTGAAGTTTACAGTTTACAACTCAGTTTCTGAGTCAGGACAGCAACTGAAGTGTACTCGCAGAGTCTTGCAGCTTTAGGCCAATGGTACTAAGTTCTCTTAGTCTTGTCAATTATGGTCCTCTGCTTCACTGAACATATATCCCTCTAGCTGTTGATTCTGTATGATGAGGTGTTTAAACAACTGAATTGAGTAGTGTTCTGTTGTGATATGTAAGATTTTCATTGGCAGAAGGTTTCCTTCCTAGTCTCAGCTCTGTTGACCCTTGTTCACCATGAGTAACCCTTGTGGTATTTGAAGGTTTGTCTGAAGTACTTTGGACATATTGCAAGGAGGGACCAGTCCTTGAAGAGGGACATCATGCTTGGGAGAACAGAGGGACAACACATGAGGGGAAGACCCTCAATGAAGAGATGGATTGACTCAATGACTAGAGTAATGGGAGTAGGTGTGTCGGAGACAGTAACGTTGGCTCAGGATAGAGCAGGGTTCAGTCAGAGCTGTTGTACATAGGGTGGCCATGAGTCACAAGTGACTTGATAGCACATAACAACAATAATTTGCTATTTTAAGAGTGTATGAAGAATTGGTCTTAAAATAAATGAGACAGGTTATACCTTGGTCTTCTGTCTATAGAGATTAAGTTAAACATTAATTAAAACATTTCAGAGCTTACTATACCTAGGACTGTGAATGCAGAAATTGTCCCAAGTTGTTTATGCGGTTTGGGATTGATTAGGAGGATACTAATGTGTGTTGTCGTAGCTGAGTTCAGTTGGTTTATATACAACTTAAAGCAAAGTAATAAAATTATCAAAATAAGTCCCTAGGTATCCAGGCTTCTCAGATCTCATTTGTCAGAATTAGTCTGAAACACTGTGTCCTAGAATCTGTCCTTTCTGCTCTTTTATAGATCAATTTTAAGTCTCCCTGCATGATTTTTTTTATCTCTGATTTTTTAATGTAGTTGTTGTTGTTGTTATGTGCTGTCTAGTAGCTTGTGACTCATAGAGACCCTATGACAGCCCTAAACTCTGTCCTGTGCCAATCGCATTGTCTCCAACACACCCATTCCAATTACCCCAGTCACTGAATCAATCCACCTCATAGAGGGTCCTTCCCTCTTTCACCGTCCCTCCACCCTCCCAATAATGATGTCCCTCTCCAGGGATTGGTCCCTCCTTACAACATGTCCAGAGTATGTTAGACAAAGCCTCAGAATTCTTGCCTCTAGGGAGCCTCCCAGTTTAACCCTTTCTAGGATGAATCTTTTTGTTTTCCTAGCAGTCCATGGTATTCTCAATACTCTTCTCCAGCACCACATCTCAAAGGCATCATCTCTTTCTGTCCTCCTTGGTCATTGTCCAACTCTCTGATGCATAACAAGTGATAGCAAATTAATGAGATCTTAGATTATCATTTTTAGTTTTTTCTGGTTTTTATTTGACTGCTGGCTCACTAGCTTGAAATGTTTCATTGACAATTAGAATTAGTCTTAGTTTATTAGTAATTTGATTTTTTGAGGTAAGAGGAATCTTAAGTAACCTAGAATAAAGCATTACAGTATAATCTGCTTTAGAAGTTAAAATTTGGTGGTTTATCTTGGTCTGTAGCTATTTTTGTGTACTGTAGAGTCAGAACTGACCCATAGCTGACCCTCCAGTGGGTTTTCCGAGGCAGTTAATCACCTGGGAGATTTCCCATCCTTCTTCTGTGTAGCACTTGGTGGCCTCGAACTGCATGCCTTGAAGATTGCAACACAACTTCTTACCACCAGGCCACCAGAGTTCTCTATGTAGGTAGCTCCCTACTACGTAGGTAAAAAGTGTCTTTGGCCAGTTAGTGATGATTCACCATAGCTTAAATAGAGATAAGTAGGAAACAGAAATTCTTACCACTGTACTGATAGGCGATATCATGATAGATGGAGAAAAGATTAAGGTTGTCACTGATTCATCTTACTTTTATCCTCAATTAACATCTTTGGTACTAGCAGTCAGGATGTGAGGAGACATACTGTACTGGGAAAGTCTGCAGTCAGGGACCTCTCCAAATTATTGAGGAGCAATGTCAGTTTGGGACTAATGTGCTTCCCATGGTCTGCCAAAAGAACAAATAAATAGTCTTGGAGAAAGTGCAGCCAGAGTACTCTTTAGAGACAACAGTGGTAAAGCTTTGTCTCACATACTTTCGGCATTTTTATAGGAGAGGCTATTCCTTGGTGAGGGACATCATGCTTCGAAAGGTAGAGGGTCAGCGAAAGAGGAAGACCCTTACTAGGCGTATTGACACAGAGAATGCTGCAGTGGGCTCTAGTGTGTCAGGAAGTATAAGGATGGCACAGGATAGGACAGGGTTCAGATCTGTTGTTCATAGTGTCACTCTGAGTCGTACTTAACTCAATGGAACCTAACAACAATAAGAAAAACAACAATTATACTATTTGGAAACAAACATTAAAAGCTGTCCTTGGAAGGTGGCTGTGCTTCCATTTTTTAGATATATAGGTTCAAAAGGGGAAAGGGGAGGTGAGCAGAAAAGGGGAAATCACTGGGATAGCAGAGATTAGTAGACAGAAGTGGAGGATGAAGGATTGGGAAAGATTTAATGATGACTTAAAAAGACAGGGTAATAAACATAGATCACTGTTATTTAATTACATAAAATATGTGTATGAAGGAGTGTAAAGAACATAATGTATATGAATATAGTTCAGCGTATATAAATGATTGTGTAAAATATGAAGTATATGTATGAAACTCAATGCATAAGAATGATTGTCAGAATCAATAAAAAATTATATTAAAAAAGTTATCCTTGAAAAGGAGTACATTTTCTGCTTTTAAATCTTTAGGGAAGTAATGGGAATTGAACATTACTGTCTCCCCACTATGGACGAATTTATTAACTTTCTTAAATAGGTAGAAAGTGTTCCAGTTCATATTAGAATTTTAATTGTATAAATAAAAGCTAGAGGATACTTTTAAAATGTACCTTACAACCACACATATATGTGCTTACAGTTTTTTTTTACAATGTAATTATACATGAGAGAAAAACATATATAAATAAGCATGAGAGATAATTACTACTGTAGCTTTTTCTCTTTTCTGTGCATTTATGAGCCATCTGGTTTTTGTAACATAAAAGAGTACGAAATTACTGACACTGAGCACTTGTGTTTTTTTTCCCCTCCCTTAAGCATGGTGTTAGTCTCTATATTCAAGATAAAGAAGGTTTATCAGCTTTGGACCTGGTGATGAAGGATAGACCTGCACATGTAGTATTCAAGAATACTGGTAAGACAATTCTACAAACATATTACATTAAACTACAGCTTTAAAAATAATACAGTTTTTATTTGTGCAGGATGATTTCAGCATTGACGCACAGCTGACCCTCCAGCAGGTTTTCAGAGGCAGTTTCCTTCTCCTGCAGAGCAGTTGGTGGCCTTGTACTTTGTTCCTTTGGAATTGCTGTACAGCTTCTTGCTACTAGGCCACCAGAGCTCTCTAAGTACAGCTTAGTAAATTTTAATGACATTTTATTATTTTTAAAGTACTTATCTATGAAGAACTTTTGTGTTAGAATATTGTTGATATTTTAATGTACAGTACATTTTTATTTTTAAATTGATACGGTTTTTAAAAGTAAAAAATGCAATACAAAGTGGGAAGAAGTTAGAATTGTAAATATTCTTTAAAAAAAATTAACATTTACTCAGGATGTCCTATAAGCATTTAAGGTAGTGGGGGAAAGGAAATGATTTTGCTACCTATACATTCCAATTTCAACTCTTTCTCCAGTTTGTTTGCCATTGAACTTTGGAAGTGGAAATTGGAGGGAAAGGAAAGATTAAAATGGGCACTATGCTGTTTATATTTAAATAGTTAGCCAGCTAGGTTAAGACAACTCTCTATTTGTATCTTGGACACAATCTTGCAGGTAATAGTTATGATTCCATTCTGCAACTTTGTCATCATCTCAAAATAAAAGTGAAAGTTAAATATAAACTTAGCTTTATTAGGTATGACCTCTTTTGAGTGGGATATTACCCTTGTCACCAGTAACAGATTTATACTTATCATATGAAAGGTACTGAAAATTAATCTTTCTCTGCCTAGAATCGGTGATGACACTTTCAAATTAATAACATTTTATGTTTAAATGACTTTTCATTGAAATTAGATAGATATGGGAGATGATGGCAGCTAAAGAAACAAGGAATAAATATTGATTTTATAGGCCTGTGATAGAATGATTTTGATGTTTTGATTATTATTCTTAGAAATAAATATGTATTAATGAATCCATAATTTAAAAATCTTTCTAAATATGGTAGTTGTTATTTTGTGCCATTGAGTTGGAACCGACTCGTAGTGATCCTCCAGCAGGTTTTCAAAGTCCTGTGGAGCATCTGTTGGATTAGAACTTCATGCCTTTAGAATTGCAGTGTATTGTCTTACCACTGCTCCCTAACATGCTCTCGTGGCCTAGTGGTAAGGACCTGTGCTACCAACTAGAAGGCACACAATTCAATCCACCAGCTGCTCTGTAGGAAGAAGATGGGCATTCTCCTTCAGTGTAATTTAGTACTTCTAAAAGCCTGCTCGAGGATCAGCTGTGGGTCAGTTCCAACTCCAAATGTGGTAGTTAAATCAATCCTTGTAAAGAGTTAAGTTTTAAGTAAACTGATTAGTAAAATGTGTCTGTAACTTAAATAAGTTTATATTTGTCTTAAAATGTTAAAAGAATATAAGATCATCAGATTTTCAATTTAGATCCTACAGATGTCTATACTTGGGGAGATAATACAAATTTCACCTTGGGTCATGGAAGCCAGAATAGCAAAAATCATCCAGAGTTGGTGGATCTGTTTTCCAGAAGTGGCATTTACATCAAGCAGGTATTTTGAAGTACAACTGAATACTTTTAGAGTTTAAAAGAACCTTGTATTTGGTAACTCAACGTTATATTGAAAATTGTTAATTTGGTTGAAATAAGATTAAATTTATTGATAAAGTCAATCAATAAACTTTTCCAATTTTTTAGATTGATTAGCCTTAATCACTTATATGTAAATGCCCTTAAAAGTATAAATCATTAGTGTAAGCAGGGTTATAAATTGGAAGGTAATGTATAGCTATTAGACCCTGTGTGATGTATACGGTTAGTGTGGTTAGGTGTTAACTAAGAGAGAGCTCCTCAGAGGAAGGGCTTGGCAAAGTTTACAGCTGAGAAAACCCTGTGCCGTAGTTAGTTTAGTTCCACTCCTTAATACCTGGATTTCTAAAATGGGAGTGGACTTGATAGCAGTGGGTATGGTACTTCTGATATTCTGTCAAGAATATGTGAATGTACACATGTATGGGTAGGTAGAATAGAGTGAGTGTTGGAGTGAGTGTAAAGTGGAGGCAGATAAGAGGAAAAAACTGTTAAGAAAATATAAAATATATACTGTTAAAGGAAAAATGGGTTAAGACCAAAAAGGACATTGGAGTGAAATTACTGCTTTAAAAAAATAATCTAAGGCACTTCCACTGTTCTTTGATAACACACAACTTTAATATTTGTGCAGTAAATTGAATTTTATTAAATTCTTGCTGTTTGGGATTTTATGAAATTTGAAAACAACTGACAACTATTTTGTTTCTGTATGTCACTATTTTTACACATAATTTAAAAATAAAATGCAATAGATTTTAATGTTTTTCTAGAAAACTAATTATATACAAAATAGAATGGCATAATGAATCCCAGTGTAACCACTGCTGAGTTTAAATAGTAATATGCTGCTATTTTTATTTTTTGTGTTAAACGGTATTTCATTCAGAAAAGTTTAATCTTGTCTTGTTTTCCCTTAGGTGGTGCTTTGTAAATTTCACTCGGTGTTTCTGTCGCAGAAGGGGCAGGTTTATACCTGTGGCCATGGTCCTGGAGGGCGGTTAGGACATGGAGATGAGCAGACCTGTATGGTAATTGAAATATCCCTCCACAGTTTTAGTAGCTTTAGTAAAACTTTTTTTCAATAATTATAAGTGAAAATAGTACATGAATTAGTACCAAGTTTTGGCTTTCTAATCCATAACTTACATGATTTGCCATGTCTTCTTAAGGATTTCGATATATACACAATTTTAAAGGATCAAAGAAAAATTATGTTATGCTGATACAGATATTGAGTCAGCAGTGTATATAAAGTAAGCTTTAAAATATTTCCAGAATTGAATTATAGCAGACAGATTAATTATAAAATACCTGAAGTGCCCAGATTTTTAACTTGCTTGTAACTTCTCATTATATTATCTGTGGTTTAGTAATTGATCCAATATTTTTATTGCATAAACTCTTATGCTACTGAAATTTAGTACTAATAAAAACAAATTAATCATTATATATCAGGAAATTGGTTCATTAGATTATTTTTAATAGTCTATTTTTGTTGTTTTGAAGGGACTGTTAGCATATTTCTCATCTATTAAAAGATACTCTAAAAGGATTAAGAGAAATAATGATAACATCTTTAATTGAGGATTTTTTTTTATGGAAAAGTAAAAGAAAGGATTCTTTCATTGTTTTACAAACCTTCCCCCAGGTCCCCTCCACCATGTAGCCCTCGCTCTAGTCTCCTGTGATGACAGAAGTACCTAGTCATATATCTCTTTTAAACAGTTTTCTCCCTCCTCTGTTTCAGTGCAGTATACATTATTGAACCCATCTTACTCAGTCTCTCCCCAACCCCAAGGCTAGTCCCATTCTACAACAGTGGCATCATGTAATATTTGTCCTTTTGTGACTGGGATATTTCACTCAGCATAATGTTCTCCAGAGTCAACCATTTTGAATAATGAGGATTTTTTTTTAATTATTATTTTTGTGTGAGTGTACCGTCAGATCTGACTGGTACAGGAGGAGATTATCCCTCCTTCCCCGGCAGAGCATCTGGTGGATTCGAACCTTGTGCCTCTGGGATTGTTAATTGAGGATGTTTTTATTTCAGGGCATTGTTCTTTTCATATATTACTGCCTTGACATAAGCCTCACAACAGCCCTGTGAAGCGCAGACATTATCAGCTCCATTGTATGTTTGATGGCAGTAGTAACAGCAGTAGTCATTCCTTGATCACTTGCTCTTTGCCAGGAATTGTAGTAAATTACAAGCTCATTTAATCCCTACACCAAATTTATGTTAAGTCCAATATATAATGATCACTGTGTTTTACAAATACAGAGAGTTAAGAGAGTTGAGATCAAATAGCTAGTAAGTGGAAGAACTAAAACTTAAACCCATTGCAGGTGGCTCAAAGGATCAGCGAAGGGACACATAGATTCCACTATAGTTTGTTGGTTTTTCCTCCAGTATAATAATGAATACTTAGACTGAAGAATTACTTTTATTTATACCAAACAAATTTGTGGTTGGAGTATATAGAAAGGAAACATTTTGTTATTTATGCCAAACAACTTTGTGGTTAGAGTATATAGAAAGTAAATATTTTGTTATTTATACCAAGCAATTTTTTTGTTAAAGCGTATAGAATGTAAACATTTTGTTAAAGTTTTAAAAAATTAATTGTTGAAGTGACTTAATTTTATTCAACTGTATTACTTATGCTTTCAGTTATAAACTCCTCTTCATATTCATTTAAACTTTACCTGTCCCTTGCTGAAATATACTTTACCTACAGCTCTTTGTCTCTCTCTCTCTGTATGTGTGTATGTATATTATTTTGGATGTAGCCTTAACAGATTCTGTTAGTATACCAGAGTAAATGTTTACTATATTATGTTAACTGTCGTTATATTTTGTAGGTCCCCAGGCTTGTGGAAGGATTGAGTGGTCACAGTTGTTCCCAGGTGGCAGCTGCTAAGGATCACACTGTTGTATTAACTGATGATGGATGTGTTTACACATTTGGTCTGAATGATTTTCATCAATTAGGACTTAATCCCCCACCACCCAGCTGTAATGTACCCAGACAGGTAAACTTTTCATTTTTGGTTTTTTTAAAAAAAGTTTTCATTTTTAAACAGTAAAGTTACCATTTGCTATAAAACTTGTTTGCACAGAAAGGCCTCACCATTACTGACAGAACAATATAGTTTACTTCCTCTGTTTACCTTCTTCTTAGTGGCACGTTGTTGTTGTTACGTGCCGTCAAGTCGCCTGCAACTTATAGCAACCCTATGTACAGCACTTCTGCAGCCTACCCTGTCCTGAGCCATTCTCACTGACTCTGACCTGACATACCCCCATTGCCCTAGTTACTGTATCTGTCCATGTCATCTGCAGTTTCCTCTCCTGGGCTGTCCCTTCACCCTTCCAAGCATGTTGTTCTTCTCCAACGATCAGTTTCTCCTGGCCACATCCCTAGAATATATGAGATGGAGCTTCAAAATCCTAGCCTCCAAGAAGAAACTTAGTTTCACCCTCTCTAAGACAGACCTACTAGTTTTCTTGGTGGCCCATGGTGTCTTTAAGACTCTTCTCCCGCACCACAACTCAAAGGCATCAATTCTTCTTCTGTCATCGTTAGTCGTTGTCCAGCTCTCTGATGCATAGTAAGTAATTGTGAAGACCATGGCACCTTAGTCTCTAGACTGACATTGTTGCTCCTCAGTACTCTGGAGAGGTCTCTGACAGCAGATTTTCCTACTGCAATTCGTCTCTTGGTCTCCTGACTGTTGGTGCCAAGAGTATTGATTGTGGAGCTGAGCAAGCTATTTATGTATATTTTTTTCTGAAAAAATTAAGATTAACTATAACTATAGTACAGATTATTACTATAAAAATAAGGAAAGAGCTTACTTGGGAAATTAGGTACTAAACTATCCCAAATTCTGCTTTTTAATGTTTATAAACATAAGTAGACTAGCTTTGAAGTTTAAATAGTTTTGTAGTCTTCTTCAAGAAAAATAATGTAATTATGAACACAGAATGATCTTATGCAAATGAAATACCTAAAACCCTTGGCTTTTTAGTTTTGTGGGTTTTACTTCTGCATACATGAAGACATGGAGAATGTTGTTACCATTGTTGATACTTTTTCCCATTTTCATTTTGCGTAGCCTCCAGCAGATGGTGCTCTTTCTCTAATTTCAGGAACCTAACAAGCATAAACCATGGAGACAAAGATACCAGAGCTTAGTCTCACATACCATGAGCATTTTAGGAGAGGCTATTCCTTGGAGAAGGAAGATTATGCTTAGAAAGGTGGAGGTTTGGTGAAAGAGAGCAAGACCCTCAAACAGATGGATTTACACAATGACTGTAACAATGGGCTCAAGTGTATCAGAGATGATGAGGATGACACAGGATAGGACAAGTGTTGAGATCTGTTCAGAGGGTCAGTATGACTCATACTCTACTTGACAGCACTTAATAACAGTAACGACGAGAGTATATGTAACTGGGATTGGCAATATTAAAGTTCATAAAAATTTGTATTTTAGATGTTGAATATCTTTACTACTTCCTATTATGTTAGGTTATTATTGGATGCATTTTTTTAAATTTCTAAGCTTTTGACTTCCCCTTACTGTTCTGATGACCAATAAAACAATAAGGGGCCCTTGTGGCAACAATTGTTAAGCACTTGCCTGCTAACCAAAGGTCAGCAGTTTAAACGTGGCTGGGAAAAGGATGTGGGAGTCTGCTGTTTTATAAAGGGTTTTGTGAGTTGGAATGGATTCAGTTGCAGTGGCTTTAGTCAATCGATAAGAATTATCCTAAAATAATATAGAATAGTTTACAATATGTTGGATCTCTTAGTAGATCTGTTTTCTCCAGCCAACTAGTTTGTAAACCTTCTGTAGACTTTTTAAAGGAATAACGAGTGGGTTTGTTTTTTTGTTTGGTGTTTTTTTTTTTTTAATCTTTATTTTTGTGGCAACCCTGGAACTGTAGTGTATATATATAACCATGACAGTGGTTTTTCTGCTGGAGACAGTTTTGCCCTGCAGGAATTGTTTGACAATATCTGGGGATAGTTTTAGTTGTCAAACACTTTCTAACAGAGGATCATCTAGGCCCAAACATTCAGTAGTGCCACAGTTGGGAGACCCTGTACATAGCAAAATTGAAAGTACTATGTGCTTTTACAAGAAGGAGAATGTTTATTTTTCATATTACATTTTGAAGAAAATTGACAAAAATATATAAGGATTTAGTTTTCACATGGTGTTGATTTTCCACATGTTAAAACTGCTGAATGTAAGTTGCCATATGGAAATATCTACTGCCTTGAAAGAACTCACCTCTTAGTATGAGCGCTGAAGTCCAGACGTTACAGGGCACTTGAGAGGGGGACTGGCAGCGCGTATGCAATTTACTCACTACTCTAGCTACTCAATCTTTGCACATTTGTACTAGGTGATAGATTATAAACTGCACTTCTATTTATTTTATTAGATACAAGCAAAACATCTAAAAGGAAGAACAATTGTTGGAGTAGCAGCAGGAAGGTTTCATACAGTGCTATGGACTAGAGAAGCTGTTTACACAATGGGACTGAATGGTGGACAACTGGGTAAGAAATGTTTGCTGACAATATCTTAAAAATAAATTTTACCCTTAAATACAGATTTTTTTTTTGTGATATACTTATTAATTTTTCAGGTTATTTACTGGATCCCAATGGAGAGAAGTATGTAACTGCTCCTCGTCAAGTTTCTGCCCTTCATCATAAGGACATCACTTTGTCGTTGGTAGCTGCAAGTGATGGAGCCACAGTTTGTGTCACCACAAGGGGAGATATTTACTTACTTGCAGACTATCAGTGCAAGAAGATGGCTTCTAAGTATGTATATTTCTCTGAAATAAACACAACTTTATTATTGGCCCAGTTTTCTCCCAGCAGATATCTGAGTAGTCTCAATGACACAGTGAAGCAGCATTGTGCTCTGAGAAGTCACAAATGATGAGGATGCAACAGGACAGGACAGGGTTCAGATCTCCTGTTCATTGGATTGCTATGAGTCATACTCGATGGTACTTAACAACAATAACAACATCAGCTTTATGCTGTGCTTTGTAAATTGTCAAATGGAAGAAATATAATGGGGAAGGAGGATCAGAAATTTTTTTGCATTTGATGATTTTTTAATTTGGCAATTATCCAGCAAATATATATGAAAGTGTTTTTTAAATGCCACAGTATTTCTGACTTAGTTTGGCATATGTTCTCTACATTTCTTTTCTCATGCTTCAGGTACACAGAACTGTTGTTGTGTTGTTAAGTGCCGTCAAGTCGTAGGTGACACTTGCGTGCGTGACTTTCATCCTTTCTC